TGTTTCCCTATTAACTTCCAGGACTCAACATCTGCTAAATAGAAGGGTAGACAGAAAGTCCTAACTGATTAGCTCTTGCCCACAGAAAAATCTCTGGTTTTTCATTTATTACCATTTGTTTTATTTTTATAAGTCATTATCAATTAAAGGAGTAAAAGATACCATTTTTTTAACCTGTCTAAAAATCCCCTCTAATATTCCAGCTTAAACCAAGTCATGTTTTCCATGATATTTATTACCCCCAAGTAGATCCAATTTTCATTGCCCCCCAAAACAGTACAACAGGGCTCAAAAAATATGTGTTGATTTGCATGGGTGCTAAAAGCATCACCAATAATTTTGATTAATGTGTCTTGACACTGAACGCATTAGCCATACAATATTCTCCTTGCTTAAAGGCTAATTAGAATTCAAGTCAGCATGATACCTGCTTTTGAGGATTACAGCAAGGGCATTTGTTGTAATAAGAACCTCCAGGCAGCCAGTTTTGGTAATGATTGATTTGTAAAATTATTGAGGGGGAAGAAAATGAGAAAGTAGAGCCTGTCCCAAAAACACTTATTTCCCTTAAGGATCAAATTTGAGTATAAATTAAAACATCTTGGTGGCTACGATGAAAATGAACTACCATAGCAGGTTTATTTAAACCCTAGAAAACATACCTTTCTGATTTTTTTCCTCTTAACAGAATTACATCATGAAAGCACATTTGGTATATTTATTGGAGGCTTTATTCTGGCTGCTAAAAAAATCTCTGATTTCTGGTTGTATGAGTTTCCTAATTGGACTCTTAAATTATTCAACTGCTCAGACACACTTGGTGCAAGCAGGAAATAATTATAAGTAACAATAACAATGTCATCCATTTAGCTGGTATTTCTTCCTTTTTTTTCTTTTAGGAATTCATTTCATATCCTATGTTACTTCCAAAAACTTTCCTCTGCTATTTTTAAAATGTGATTTGATGTTCTGAGGAAGGAACTTCATCTCCAGCGATTTAAAACCTAGGTTTCTATTAGCTTACTGAACACTACACTTAATCCTAAGGATGCCAAAGTAAATGTTCCCACCACCTGTAAAGTTAGTCTTTGTATGATTTAGTGTCAAAGATGATTTCATATAATGAGGTATAAAGAGTTACTGTCCCATAACCTCCCGATCCTCAAGTTCCTGATCTAAATGTCAAATTTTCACTAATGAGGAAGCCAGAGCAAACATCAAGCTTTGAGGGAAAATACTATAAAAATTTCTTTGCCATCTAAATGACTTGATGTAATTTTTACTATATTATGTCTCCCTACTGTATTAATTTCAATGTACTGTATAAATTTTTTCAATTTATTTTCTGAATATGAAATAAACTGGTGGTCTATATTGAAAGGAGAAAAGCAAGCATTGAAAAATCAGTATTTGTAAAAAATGTCTTGGGCTAGGCAACACCATTACTGAGGTCTAGAGAATTTCTTCTTTAATTTGATCAGTTTTCCTTTTGTTTTTCATGTGAACAGCATCAGGAATGAGAACTTGGACAGTACCATGTCTTATGCCCAGAACACTGTGTCCCCTCACCCTTTGTTCTGGAATAGACTTGGGTGATAGGCAAAGAGTTAGTAGTATGATGCCATGGAGAGAAAGCAGGTTATCTTACTCCTCTTAAAGGCAACATTCACCTATCACTGCAAAGAAGTTTCAGAATTCACATCTATTAACCTGTAGAGTATAAATGGCTTTATGTTCTTTAGGTTAAAATTACTCACATGAGGAAAGACTATATAGAACAGGTATGTAACTAGTGCTTCCAATATTCTGAGCTGTTCCAAGGGGAAGAAATAACAACAGCTAAAATTTATATAGCTTTTAATATATGGCAATATTTTAGGAGCTACACATATATTAATTCATTTAATCCTCACAACAACCCTCTGAATTATGTACAATGGTGACTCTCATTTTATAAGGAAACGTGAGGATAGAGATTCTTGAACTGGCGAGGGGGCAAGACCAGATCTGCACACTGGTGAGCTGGTTCTGCAGCCAGGGCTCTTGATCCTTAATTTCTAGGGTCATATAAAAGGCTAAGTAATGTATTTACATTTTTCAAAATAACTTTGGAGAGAATGATTTTTTTTACAAATAGGAACTTTGAATCTTACTCTTTTATGTGATATCAGAAAAGCTAGTTGCAAGTTTCTGCCCATGAAAAAGATATTTGCAGGCTTGTTTATAAAAATAATATTCTGAGCTCAAATCTTACTCCAGAAGATCAATGTCTGCATGGTACATTGTGCATAATTTAATTTTCCCAGTTGAACATCTTGACACTATATGAACCATGAATGCATGAAAGAGGAATTCCAAATGTCTTCCACATGGTGAGAGGACTTTCCAATACTTGCACAGGAAGCTGAAGAGTAATTTGAAATTAAGTGATGCCTGTTCTTAGTGACTTTTCTTATATATGCCTAAGGTATTAGCGCTTTTCTCTGAGTGGGACTCTGAGGTGACAGATAGATGAGTCTGCTGTCTGTATTTAGGCACTTTGCTCATTTCCTGAGAGCTGTGTGGAAGGCATTTGAATGCTCATTAAGTTTCCAACCATTCCCCGAGTGCAACAGGTGGCAAATCAAAGCGTCCCTGGTATGTCACGGCTGGTTTCCTCAACGTCTTGGAACTAACGGATGGCATCTGCACGCTCTCCGTGGCACCAGCAGATACGGGGATGAACAGCGACAGGAAGTCTTTCCAAAGCACAAACACACACGGGCCTAGGGAGGCTGTGGCCAATGCTCTTGCTACCACGCTTTCGAAATGCACACATGGCGGTTTCATCTTTTAAACATTGCCATCTTTCAAACTATGAAATCATGATGAACTCTCCTGTGGTGAGCTACCTAATAAAAGCAGGTATACTCAAGGAATAACAACATCTCAACTTGATGAAGCTATATCATTAAAATGACAAACTTTTAACTCTATATTTATGAATATTCAATGAGTACTAATGACTATGATGTGTTCTTAAATTGTCTCCTTTACAAAATAACGTATTTATACTGAGAATCTATTACATTATAAGGAAAGCATGTCACTCACAACCCGAGAAGACAAAGCTTATTCACCCAAAACCAGAATCTGTGATTTAAATAAACTATTAGATAGTTACCCAACAGTACTTGGTAATTATACAAAGAAGGCTTTTGTCGCTATCATCACTAGTCAACATCAGAAAAACAAAGGCAAATATCAGCTATATGATCTCGGTAGAATTTGTTTGGCAGTTGCCTATGACCCTTAGGAACAAAAGCATTTACTAGAGGTGGCAAATCACCAACATCTTTCCCAACTTGAAAAAGGTGGAAACATTCAGATTAGTCCACAGATGGCTGGAGAAATGACCTGGGATATTTTAGAACAAAAAATAACTAAAAGATAATGATAATAAACAGTAGTAATTGACATTGTTTGTTTGTTTTAGAAAGATAAAACCCTCAAAAGCTTCACCCTAGCCACTCTCTCAACAAGAAAGTGCCTTACTCAGGAGAAGCGACAACTATTTCAGTGCAGCACTGAGGCTCCTGCCGCGGACCTGGCGTTGGCCGCACAACCCTTCTAATCCGCAGGCAAGTGCTGCAGTCAGCCCCGCCCGAGTCCTTCCAAAATGTGCTCCTTTTAAGTGCCTTCTTCTTATTTATAACGCTACAAGGTTCTTTATAATTAATGCTGACTATGACTTTCTTAAATTTGTTTAAAAAAATCTATGATGTTCCAATCATCTTTGAAAAGCTCCTTTTTGTAAATGTGGGAATTACTAAGGAACTACCATAAATTAACCCTATAATATGAAATAACATATTAATTTATTAAGTTCTTTCTGCTAAATATGAAATGATAAGGAAATAACTGGCTTTTTAGTAAACTATTGCCATAGTTTTCCACTGAAGAAGCCAAGGACTAATCATATATGAAAAACACATATCTGCACTTCTATAAACTAATCTGGAGCCATCAAACAAAAGGCAGAACCAAAATTTCTGATACCATTGATGTCTGGGAACTCAATAATTTGACATATTTATTCTAAAATCATATCATTTCATGTAACACACTTCAAGTAGAACCTTCATGAAACATTATGCACAACCCTCACACTGAAATGAGGAATATTAATTTTAGAATGGCCTAACACATACTACAGATGAATTCCAAACTCTGTAAGGTGAGAACAGGGTAAGAAAAAATCTACTTGCATTGTGCTAACCTATCCAACAGTTCTGGAATTTAAAAAAGAGCTTTAAAAAAAAAAAAATCTGATTTTAAAGGAGTAACTACAGCTAAGGCAGCAGAACTTTTAAGCCTACTCAACTGCCATGTAAAAAATTTTAAACAATTAAAAAATATTTCTTAACATTTTTAGATGGTTTAAAAGTATGCAAAACAATGTTTTAAACTAAGTTTTAAGCAATTATTTCAAAAGATACCTAAAAAGTTTATGGGAATAGTATATTGGGTCAAAATAGTTTAGTAAAATGATTTATACTTTTCAGTGAGAATTATTGACAGGAAGTAGAAGCACAAAACATTTCAGAGGGATTATTATAATGAGTGAATCATAAGAACAGCTGCCTAAACATTAGATTTATGGGGATGTGAAGACTCTAATTCTGGTAAAAACCTGATAAGATCTTAAGAATAAAGCTAAATGTGAAGTTAGACATTCTAGGCTTTAGAGAATTCCTATGACTTCAAATAAAGTGGCTTTTACATTTATTTCATTAAGGGGCATATTAGGTTACATAGCAGAATATACAGTCCAGAGAGCAATGGAAAACTTAAAAAATGCCTGTGCTTAATTTTTAATTCAAAAATGTAATTGGTTGAGAAGGTGAGTATTTAAAGAACAGCACTATATTCTTAGCTTTCATTCCCCCCATCTTCCTGCAATTTTTGTGACTCTCACAATTACAGTTCTATGAAGCTGAGACTGTCAGTGCGGTATTTACCTTTATCCCCGGGAGTCCAGGAAGCCCAGGAAGCCCTGGTTCACCCTACACAGGAAAATCACACAACATTACAGAACAGTATTCACTCCGTCACAGGCTCTGGGGAAAAGCATGGCAAATGACCTCGCTGAATACTTGTCATCTACACGTCTCCTGCCTCGTTTCAAGAGGTTCGGTGAGATGATACAGTTCAGTCAACTCTTGATTCAGAAATTGGTTGACCATTTTGCAGATTTTTCAGGACCTTCCCTTTTCCTGCCAGTTCACTGCCCATTGGCATCTCTACCAGAAGGCAAGAAAGAGGAGTCGAGGGAGAATGAGCTCCCACGTTTTATTACTTCCTGGCCAATGTTTTGCTGGGGAGGCTGGAGCCCTTTGATGAAATGAGGGTTATGGGTGCATCTGAGTCACGCCTCCACGTCCAGTGCTCTCTTACCTCAGATAATCAAGAGTTGGCTGTATGAACAGATGGTTACATCAAAACACTATACATTAAAAGTCGTGCTCACTTAAAAGTACAGAAAGATTTCTTTTCCATTCCTGAATGATGAGAAGATAAATGCATGGTTAATATTATACTTAGCTCCAGCCCATATTTCTGACAATTGTTGAGTCTGGGTAACCCTGCCTAGCAATTTAGGGCTAATGGTACCATGCAGCTGTTCCTGAATACAGGTCTGAGATTAAGTGGTAGATTTGGGGTGAGCACACTGGAGTCATGATAAACCTTCTCGTTTTCACAGAATGGTCTACATTATTTTAAGTACAAAGTAGAGTGACAAGAGGTTACATTGCTTAGAAAATCTCCGGAATTCCACTAAAGAAGCATAATGGAATTGCTGGAGAAAATGAAAGTCCATCCTGTGGTAGGCTGAGGTGACTATTTGTGGAAGTAACATTTGAAGGTAAAAGGGTTACACACATTTTCAAGATGGGAAGACAACTACACAAAGAGACAGGAGCATCAAACCAACAAAGTGGTAGAGGGAGGCATTTCTTTTCATCTAAATGCTTTAACAGCCTTCATTTCAAAGAAAAGATGCTAGGAACAACCAGACATTTCATTTTTTAATATCAAGTTATGAAGAGTCATAACTTGTTCTAGTATTATCACTACATGACTTTAGATACTATTTATTAAGCTGTACAGTTAGACATAGAAAGGACCGTGACTTTCCTGACGATTTAGGTCAAAGTTGCTTCAGGAATGCAAAAGAAAAGCTATTATGTATGAAACTGTAAATGAAAGTTTGCATTGTGAACAATAACACTAGGATGAGATTAAGCCAGAGAAGAAAGGATGATTACCAAGAATTTGATATTTCATTCAAATAATACTTGTCCGAGGAAATTAAACTTCATACAGATACAACATTCTACATTTGATTTTTTTCTTGCTTCCCTCTTTCCCCTTCAATCAATAAATTTAGGAAGATTTAGTAAAAAGGGCTTGTATCAATATTTTACTGAAGATTCTCTTTTACTTTTAAAAAAAGTATACAACCCAAAAAAGTAAACATATTGGTGATAAATGTATAGTTTTGTATTGTTTTGGAAAAAGTCCCCTAAAACTCAGGACATCCTATTTGAAAAGTGTGTGAAAATGTGTAAGTTGTGACACTGTTTCCCAGCTGGAGTTCTCACCATACCCTTCCCTCTGGCCAAATTAAAAAGATCATATGACTAATTTGAAGAAAGATATTTGTATACACATGCATATATAGACACACACCCATATTTTCTAACAATGAGAAAGATGTATAAGACATTATGGAATATTTTATAATGTAGATTGAGTATTCACAGAGACTCTGACATTTAGTTGTCCCTACATTATATGTGTATTATATATGTATAGAGGTTATAAATGTCCTTATTAATGAACAAATGTTTCAGGAATTAATATTTCATAGTTTTGTATTTTTATAAATATGACTTTCAAATTTATGTTTACTTAAAAGTTGACATAATAAAAGATTATAAAATATTTAATGTTATCCTTTGTGGAACATCTCCTTTGGAAGATATTTCTTTCTATATAAAATTTCTATATACCATGAAGGCTTATCTTCCAATTAAGAGAGAGTAATTCAGTGAATTCCTCCATTCTTGCCTACTCCTTGGTTCAGGAGCTTCTCCGAGTTGAGTTCTTGGGCATACATAGCCCAAGGTGAGATCTGGGTCATAATTAAGAATTAGTTTGTTATTCCATTGGAAGAATACTTGTCCAAGTAGATTAAACTTTACACAAGTACATTATACTTCTTTCCTTTCCATTTCACCCTTTACCCTCCATTATAGGAGGCCTCTGTCTACTATCAAAGTCGGTACTCAGTTTTCACCCTATGTCACTGTGACAGTGCTTGGTCCTTCTACATAGAGTTCAACTGTGAGGTCCCTTCCAATGGGAGATCAAGTATTTTTACCCCTTTAAAATTAAAAATTTTTTAAATTTTAAAATATTTTAAAATTTAAAATATTTTTTTAAAAGATGTGGAGAAGTTAGGAAGGAAATAATTATGTGGTGAAATAATATCTACACACTTTACAAACATACACACACACTCTAACTCATGTGTCAGTCACACACTCTAAAGAACAAACTTTCATACTGAGAAATACCAGACAGTGGAAACTAATTAATGGGCTTTACATCTTCTGCTTTTCTGGGAATGTCCTCATGCAAGAGCATAAGTGCCAATGAACACACAGCACAGTTCTACAATGGAGTGAAAAGTGCCATGAAAGATCTCTTGAATTAATTTTGTAGTCACTTCTGTTTGTCATTTTCTAATCTAAGTAAGCAAGCAAGCATGAAAATACTCTCCTTTTAAGTCAATGTTGGGGTAAATATTACCAAATCCAAATATTAGACAAAGGAAGTCATAAATATTGTGGGAAAGTGAGATTGCGTCAAAGGGTAGAGTCTAATCTGGCCTAAATATTAATGAAAAAGATGCTGCTCATTACAGGGCACATGTTCATTCAGACTGGTTGTAAACTTCTCTCAATATAATTGTGTTTAATGAAACACAAAAGAAATGCAATGTTCCCAGACACAAACCTACAAAAATGTCCAGAAATGAATCTAAAGTGTATTTCTAAATAATCATGATAAGGCAATGTTTTGTTAAGCAATTGAAAATCAATTTTGATCTTCTAATCTGAAAACAGTGGAACTAGCTCTGGGGGTGGGGGCTGGCAGGAGTGTTGAGGGATTGAGCAAAAGAGAAAAAACTCATGGACTTAAGCAACAGTGTGGTGATTGCCGAGTGGGAGTGGGGGGAGGTGGAGGAGGGTATAGTGGGGTTAAATGGTAATGGAAGGAAACTTGACTCAGGGTGGTGAACACACAATATAGTGGACAGATGATGCGTTGTAGAATTGTGCACCTGAAACCTGTATAATTTTGTTAACCAGTGTCTTCCCAGTAAATTCAATAAGAAGGAAAAAAATAAAAAAATAAAAAACTGAAGACAAAAAACTAAAAAATAAAGACCTTAACAGTTGCAGGCATTTCTTTTAGCATATCATAGAATTGAAAAGCAGCTTAAATTTAGCCTTTAATTTTTACCTAGGGACCTAAAATTAGATCATCTGAGAAAATTAGTTGCTTTTTTCAAACCAAAGCAGATCATGGATCTCTGTTAGGATGACATCACTAATTTCAAATTCTCAAGTAAAGAATCAGTAGGAAATCTTAGGCATTGAATAGCAACATCTTCAGAGTTCTGCTGGACTCCTTGGAAAAGTCTCAACTTTGCCTGAAACTGGGCTTGATGAATCATTACTCTTAGAGTCTTAGCGTCGAGTGGAAGATCTATTTTTAAATTACAGAAACATTTAGAGAATGTGAAAGACCTCAAAAATGACTTTAATCCCAAGTGTTTAAAACAAAGCAACAATCCTCTCAATGACTTCAAGAATGTGGGAACATTATTTTATCATGTTTTATGGTTCCAAACTACTACAAGGGAATTGATTCTCTTTCTCTTTACACTAATGAGGTAAATTCTATGATTCTACCCATGTCTTTTATTTTTTTCTACAACATCAGCTACTGCTAGACAAAGGCAGAGTCATGATCTTCAGAGATTTAACCTAATGGGGAATTCACATTTACTTGTTAGCTACAATACATCTATTATCTCAAATCTGACTGCACTGGGCATTGATAGCCAGATGCTGCAACGATAAACTGCTAACAGTTGTTTCCTGCCTCAGACATAAATGAGACTATGGATCTAAACACACCCACTGCATGTCCTCTCATTCATCACTGAAGTGAAGCATAAATGATAAAAATAAACTTGTGTCCATATCTATAGATTGGTTAAAGCGGTTTGGCTAGTGTCTGTAATTAAATTTCAGTTCATGAACAAACCTCCTTGTATAATATAACATTCACCGCACAGAATATTGTTCACATAAAAATCACCAGTAGGGTAGTATTTGAAATGAAAGGAAAAGAAATATAATTTTAAAAGAACTGTCCATCCTTCCCTATTGAGACCATTTTGTAAATACTCATTTCTTCTCATGAAAGACAGAAACATGCAGAGTATCTTTAAACATGCAAGGTGAGCTGCTGCATTCCAACCCGACTGGTGTTTGTCTGTCCCGAACAGCTCAGCACATGCGGACTGGAGTTCATTAGGCATCCTTCGACACAGACAGAGTGCTTTCACTTTTGTTACGGTCAGCATCACCCCTTTGAAAACACAGCACTATCAACAACACTCGGCATGCAGAGCACGAAAACTACGTCATTTCGCAATCAGCGTTTTCATACTAGAGTGCATGGGAGAGATAAAATGGTGAGACAGTGCCAAGATCACACTCAAATAAAGATATTACCTTTTGTCCAGGACGACCAGATTCTCCAGGTTCTCCCTGGCCAAAGAAAGCCAAAGATGAAAAGGAGAGTATTACAAGAATTTTTCAAAAAACCTTTACACCTCTGGACACCTTCATAGAGATGGCCCGGCCTCCTTGATCACATATGTTTAATTTACTTTATTCTATTACTCTACATTTCACTAGACACAGAAAAAACTTTTTTTGCTGTGAATACACCTAAAGCTCACATACAAATCCACATTTCCATAAAAACCAATCAGAAGAAAGGGAAAGCCGGGCCTCTTATTTAAGCATTTATCAGATTTCCAGCAGAAACTTCCTGTTGTGTTTGGAAGCTGATTACTGCAGGAGAATAGGAACAGAGTTATAACCATCAAAGGTGGTAAAGGGGAAGAGAAAGCAGAGGCTTATAAAAACCCAAACTGTAACTCCTGGGGTACAAACTCTTGTAAGCTTAGAGTTACCTTAATTCCTGCAGCCGATGATCCAGGGTCACCCTAAAATGAAACCCATGAGAGATTATTCCACAAATTATGGGAACAGGAAACACACAAACACACAGAGAGCCATTATGGACAGGGGCACTCAAGGGAGCCCCATGACTAATGGGCTTAACTAGGCTCCCTAGGACTTTGTATCAATCTGTCAGCTGTTAAGATGTCAACAATTTCCAAGATAAACAATGTTCTTTCTAACAACATGGGTTTACTTTGAATGCAAAATACGTAAGAACTATTATATTCTTGGAAATAAATATAAAAATAAAAATATGGACTTTCCCTCAATATACTGCTAAAATTGTATTCTAAAGCAATAAATTATAATTTGGGGGATCTGGAATTTTGGTTTTCTCTATTTCTGGAATTTATTAATGTCAGTGGCTATCATTTAGTGGGAGTTCCCTGACCCTTCCAGACTTCAGAAAGTCAGGGTTCAACAGATGAAGTCAAGGGTTAATGATGCTGAGTTGGGAAAAGCCACGCAGCAGGTCAGCTTGTCTCCCCATGAAGCACTGTCCCAGTTAGGCCTGGCACATTTTTTCTAGCTTTACACTTATTTCATTGTAACACAGTCACCAGAAAGTTACAGGATGATGAATGACTTGTGGGTGACAGGGACACATGGAAGATCTGAGAGAAAATCTTGAGATAGAATCTGGTTTTCTAAAAGGCACTGTATTCCATCTGGATTTCACAGAGGGCGGGCGACTACATTTCGAAAGCAAATATGTTATAAATGAGCAGACAGGGACGGGTGGGAAAGACTGAGGAGGAGAGCTGAGAATGCTGCTTTTTCTGAAAGGCCAGCAAAGGGCCAACCTTTTCAAGCTCCTCCTAGTCTTCTGTCCCACGAACATAAAGGGAGAAAACTTAAGTTTTTTGAGACCCTCAAGAAAATAGAAATAGCCACAAGGAGGAAGGCACATATTGGGACTTCCTCAGCTGTCCTCTCTGTGCAAGTGCTCAAGGAGCTCCAAGGGTCGATTTCCTTGTTCTAGATTTAGGAAACTGCTCATTAGTTTCATTTAGAGAGAGAAAGAAGGCCTCAGGCCTCCGTACAGGGAGCACTTGGCCTCCTCCCACCGTTCTTTCCCCCTCTCTCCTCTTCCTAGGGCTGGAACCTTCTCTTTCTTTAGATCTTGGCTGAAGTGGCTCTGCCTCAAATAACTCTTCACCAACCAACCAACCTAGACACGTGCCCCTCACACACACATCGGGCCATGCAGCATAGCTCACTTCGTAATTATGTATTTATGTTTTCTGCCCATTCTTTGTGGGTCCCTCATGAGACAATCAGATTCAGTGTCTATTTTTATTCAGCGCCTGGCCCATAGTATATGCTTGATACATATATGGTGAATATTTTAAGCAGGTCAGAAGTCAAGAATCAAAATAAAAAAAACTATAGAAAAGAAAAAGAAAAAAGCTTAGGAAGGAGATGGGAATAATAAATCAGCTTATTGAAGAAACTGATATATATTTACGTTTTTTTTACATCTATAATTATTATTACCCAAGGAAAACTTAAACCACGATGAAACAGAAAGAAGAGGACCCCAATTACTGTAGAATGACACTGATTTCTCTTCCTAATCGTTAATGATCAATTGAGTTCCAATGGGAAGTGAAATAAATGTGGCTAATAAAATAATAATTATGAAACTGTTGTAATATAACAATATTATGCAGCAGTTTCATAATATATTTCTACTAAATCAAGTCTGAAAGCCATCGACACCAATGAATCAGGTGTGCAAGATTTTGCACAAGACTTTTAAATTCATAAAAGGAATTTTGACTTGGCTAAGTCCCTTCTTTCATCTCATTTATACCTCACAAAACTCCCATGAGTTAGGGCAGATATTACTATATTCATTTAACAGATGAGGCAATTGAAGCAACTAGAGGCTATATGAATTTTGGACTTCCTAAATTCTATTGTCATAAGAGAAGAATTATTGGTTTATTTCATTTTGATAAAAGGACATAAAGATTATAGTAAACTTGTAAATAAAGGAAGTTGCTTGTATTAACTGTGATTTACATACATTTTCTCAGTGTTTTAACAGAAAGTGGCTAGATAATCCACTAATAAGAGTAAAGACTAGATTTAGTTCTCATAGGAAGTGGGTGGAAAAAACAAAAAGGACAGTCCCCTGAAAGACTGATTATTTGTGGAAATTGGAGCAGTTTCATTTGATGGACAACTATGAGTGATATTTTACTTCTCATTTTAAAAATGAGAACTGTGACATCTCAAAGAATTTTTATAACTTTTAAGTGGCAAAGCAACTGCNAACTGTGACATCTCAAAGAATTTTTATAACTTTTAAGTGGCAAAGCAACTTAAATGAANATTTTACTTCTCATTTTAAAAATGAGAACTGTGACATCTCAAAGAATTTTTATAACTTTTAAGTGGCAAAGCAACTGCTGGAAGACATTCATAAGTTAAACATTTAAAAGGATAATGATGAAAGTAGTGGGGGAAAAAGTCAGTGTTTATAATTCTCATTCCTCTAACAGTGAAAATGAATACAGGATTAAGGTAGGGGGGAAATCCCGTGCCTTAAGTATACTCTTAGCTTCATAAATCAGTTGGTTTGGAAATAAATGTTTTCACGGGGTAAGTCATAAATGGGGAAAGTACTTTGAGAAGATACTTGAGGTAAATGAATTTGACTTCAGAATTTATCATTCAAGCACAGAGTTCTGCTTTTAGCTATGATTATTTTTAAATACAAAACTTAGTATGTAATTATATGTATGTGTTAGTAAAGTCTATGTGGATAAGTAAAATGAATGTGGCCATATTTTTATCATTCATTAATTTGCTCAATAAATGCTTATTGAGCACTATTTATGTGCCAGCCATGTTCTGGATGCAGGGACGCTAGGAGCTGGAGGACAACAGAGCCGCGAAGTTGCAATCCCCCTCTTGGCCTGTGCATATGATAATCATTTATTTACATATGTGTAGAAAAATATTACTGATTGAAAGCATCAAGAATGCTTTCTTTTCACTTAAAAAAATCTGGGCTATGCCCTAGCGGGTTTGGCTCAGTGGTTAGAGTATCTGCCCACGGACTGAAGGGTCCCAGGCTTGGCTCCGGCCGAGGGCACGCACCTCGGTTGCGGCTCGGTCCCCAGCCCAGGTCAGGGCAAGTGCGGGAGGAAACTGATGGATGTCTCCGTCACNTCGGTCCCCAGCCCAGGTCAGGGCAAGTGCGGGAGGAAACCGATGGATGTCTCCGTCACATCGATGTTTCTCTCTCCCTCCCCACTTTTCTCTCTCTCTCTCTCTCTCGCTCCCTTCCAGTCTTCTGAAAAGTAATGGAAACAATATCCTTGGGTGAAGATTAAAAAAAATCTGGGCTAGGAAGAGACTCTCCTGTTTGGGAAATTCCGTGTCACTGTATATACACAGAAGACATGAGAGGCAAATGCACAGTACAAGAAGAACATCTACCGTTCAGTGAAAATAAGAAACAGCTGAAAGTGACAAATTTTTTTTAAAAGATTATTCATTCAATTAATAATTGTTTTCTTCCAGGAACTTGGATTGGTGCTAGAAATAGAACAGTTTGGTATCATTTTTTTTTTTTTTTTTCCAGTGAGCTGGATGTGCAATTAAACAAAGACTTATAATAAATTATAATACAGGTTCTGAAAGGGATCATAAGGAGGGCTGTGGGAGCATGCGATAGGTAGCCCAACCAATTCAGAGGAGACTGAAAGGCCGTCCCAGGGAAATGACATAAATTCAGGTTTCAGTGGACTGAAGAAAGGATTAGGTGGAGGTGGAGATGGGCAGAGCACGAGTGTCCTGAGTTAGAGGAACCGTAGGTGCTACATTGGAGAGGACCCTGCATTGACTGGAATGGGAACACCCACTGAGATAGCCCTTCGTGTGTGATTTTAAGAAAAGAAGACAATGTGCTTGGTGGTTCCAAATATGGGTGTGGCTTCTGCAAAGGCTCAGAAGATGTAAATCAAAGACATCATGTAGCCATAAACCAAGAAGACAGTGCATTTACAGGAATGGAAATTGGGGAGCAAAGAAAATGAAGGCACAGCAAGTAATACCAAGAAAGTGAAGGCAAAGCTGCTGAATCCACAGGTGAAATTCTAAACAAAAGAGTGGCATGACCAAACCATCCAGTGTGCTCTACAAACAGCTACTTTCAGGTGAGGGGAATAGATAAGAAATCCATTTCTACATTTGTTGGTGGGATGACACGCCAAAGAGCAGAACATAGCCCTTCCACAGCAACTCCGCACATGACCGCAAGCCGTCTCCGGCAGCTCGTTCTGAAACCGAGAGAGCACCGCGCTCGCCGGCCACAGCGCCGCCCAGCCCGGTGGGTTTACAGCTGCACAGCGTTTCCAGATGACCAGTCTGGAAAGGCTTAGATTGCTTTACCATCCAAAGGCACCGAGTTGGATCAAAAGAAAAAAAAATCCTGTTAAAGTGAATCAGTCCATGACGTAATTTTTACTACATCAATGGCCAAAGAGAAGCATTTTTTGATTTTTACATCTCAAACTTGGTAAATGATGAATTAGTTTCACATACTAAACCCAAAGGCCATGAGAAGAGTGTTTCCAACATGCTGGAAACAAATTATGTGACAGAAGCAGGAAATGTTTAAAAAACACATCAAAAATTATATTCCAATTACAGCATTCTCAGGGATGAACGCTACAGGTCAGATTACATATTATACGTTACAGATTCCTATTTACAATTCCCTGTTTAGACCCATTGAAAGTTTATAGAAATGATTTCCGTTTTAACTGAAGCATTTCTTGCACTTAATTTCAGATGACTAATAAAACTTTTTGATAAAAAAGAAAAACAACCAATCTAGTTGATTTCAATTTCCATGCGGTAAGAAAGCTAACATTTATTGAGAGTTTACTATGTGTGAGTCAGTATGGTAAATGATTTGCATTAATATAAAAGGTAAGAACAGTATTCCTTTGAGATGAACTTGGTCTTGTAAAAGAAAAAAGTTGCTTTACGACTGGAAAATTAAATTTTAAAAATGTGTGATTAAAGAAACAATTATTGGCCTACATTCCAAAAATGAAGCTTTAAAAATACATCTTTTGAAGCATAAAATTCTCTACATAAGTTCACATAGGCATACTTCAGACGTGGCCTAATTTTTTTATACTTGAAGAAATTGCTCTCTGTTTAGAAGATTTCCTTTTGAGGTGGCAACTATGGCCCATGGACCAAATTAGCTACCCACCTGTTCCTGTATAGCCCATGAGCTAAGAATGGTTTTTATATTTTACATAGTTAAAAAATATCAACAATAATACTTCACAACACATAAAAATTACATAAAATTAAGATTTCAGCATCCAAAAATAAAGTTTCAAAGGGCTCAGCCATACTCATTTGTGTACATATTGTCTATGGATGCTGGCATGCTATGAAGACAGAGTTGAGTAGTTGTGACAGAGACCATATGGCCCACAAAACAGAAAATGTTTATTTTCTGGCCCTTTACAAGAAAAGTTTGTTAACTTCTGCTTCTAGGCAAAACAAGAAAAGTTAAATATAACATCCAGGTTTATATATCTGGGGTTTGAAATTTGGACTTCGAGAGTAATTGAGGTGTATCATTGTTCTCATTAGTATTAAACATATTTATGCCATGTTTGATTTCAGCATGATATTTAAATCTGACAGGCCAATAGCATGGGCCTACAGCAGTGGTTCTCTACTAGAGGTAATTTTGCCTCTAGGGAACATTTGGCAATGTCTTGAGGTGGGTTTGGTTGTCACAACTCAAGCGCGCTCCTGGCATGTAGTGGGCAGAGGCCAGGAGCGATGCTAAACACCCAACAGTCCCTACAACATGGTCTGGTCCTACAGGGCAACAGTGCTGAGGCTGGGAAACCCCGGTCTCCGAGAAACAGAGTCCACCCTAACTGCTAGGCTGCTCCTTGCATACAGACACGGTTGCTACTTGGTGACATGAATTCATTCCTACCACCATGCCATATTTATATTAATATTTATAAGAATGAGAAAGATACATTTCTCTTTATTTTATGGGTATGTTTTTATGACTAACCATTATCCATCTGTACTGTAATAATTTTCAAAGTGGAATGTTCTTATTCTGAACTATAAGCCTAAATGAATAATTCAGTTCTTTTTTTCATTACTCAATTACTTAGGTTGATTTAAATTAAAATATGACTGACTATTCTATTTTCGGTTTCTTAAAAGATATTTTTCTTCATTCTTAACAGATAGCACAAGGGAAGTAAAAGCCCTCCTTATGGCAGCGATGTCTGTCAGTATGAACCGAAGCAAAAGCTGTCTTGATAGCTGGGGGTGGGGGTAGGGGGGAGACAGGAGGTGGGAAGATGAGTCACAAGACCACTGTAATATCAATAGTGGTTTAAAAGATAAAAAATAATGACAATACAGGCTGACAGAATATCCGNTATCAATAGTGGTTTAAAAGATAAAAAATAATGACAATACAGGCTGACAAAATATCCAGATTTAGTACATTTCAAGTTGAGGCAAATCTTCAAGACTGCATTAGAGATTCTAATCAAGTGACATTTACTCTCGAACTTTTAAATCTCAACCCCATCCCCTGACGTGTTCTCTCCTAACATTGGGACAAACAGAATCGATTTAGCAATTCTATTTTTATATCTCTGCACATAAAGGAAGCGTGCCATTTATACGTGACTAAGTGTTTTTATTCCTTGAAAGCCTGGAAACCTAGCTACACACTTTCTAAAATTTATGACATACCGCTTTATGTTTAAACATTAAAATTTGTAGCTAGGAGCCTGTGGAATAATCGCCTTTTATAAATGAAATATTTAAATGTTTTTGAAACTTATAGGATTATCTCTTCTTAACAAACAAAGCTACTACTATTCACTTCTCTCAAAATCTCCCACTTTCATATATAGAGAATGCTATTTCTTGCTCATACACATACTCTCCCATATTTAGCAACACTGTACCTTTTCGCCTGTGTCACCTTTGGGGCCACTCTCTCCAGCATCTCCCTAAGAGAGGGAAAAAGAGATACATGTAAAATATATTGGTGACATTATGCAAAGGGTATTTTCCATTATTTTAAGTTTTCTTTCATAAGCACTATATGTAAAAATCTGTTGCAAGTGTCCTACTTGAGCAGCTTCCTGATATCACTGGTCCAAATACACATTTTACAATGAATCTGGCTGAACAGTTTTAAATTACTCCATGATATTAATGAAAAGCAGCAATTTCTCTGATTTCTAGAAGCTTATCCTGGCACTTAAAGCTTCCTTAACTCTACTTCTTTTCTCCTCTGCTCATAGCTCCACTGTAACGAAGACTTTCTCCTGACCATTCCCTCAATATGCCACAGGCCTCACCACCTCTGTGTCCATTCCCGCCACCTCACTCCTCCTTTCCCTTTGATCTGTATAAACCCTACTCTTGTCTTCAAGCCCATCTCAAATCTCCAGGGCCTCAAAGTGCATGATCCAGCCCTCAAAACCTGTGCCCTGAATATTTGATTTATTTGTACCAACATGTTTCACATTTGTGAAAGGTTTTTTATTTTATTAGGAAACCGCTTTTTTAAAATCATAACTTGGGGAGTTTGTTTCCTTGGTTATTTTTGAGATTTCCTATGCCTATTCTCTCACTAACATCTTTCTACCCACAAAGCAATGCATTAGAAAAAAGTCACTTGTTTATTACTCATGCTTCGCTTCCTTAAATTCTGAATTCTTTACGTCTCATAGCATGTTATGGTGGAGACATCATGGATTTGGAGCCAGAGAGACCATGTCCAGCTCCAAAACTGACTGGGGAAATGAAATTTTCTATGCATCATATTTGTCATGTGTAACATAAGGGCAAGAACAGTTTATGGGGTCGTAAGAAATAAAAAATGTAGTGCGTGTAAAGCAACTAGGATAGTATCGGATGCATAAGCTGTTCATGATAGCTGTTAGCAACAACACATTACTGTTCTTATAATCCACAGCCCTCTGTCTAGCTTCATGAGGTCAACTTTCTCTCACTTAAAAATTTCCTTAAAATAAGACAGAAACGATTGATAACTATTTCCCTGAGAGAAGGAGGGATGGCGAGGGAAGAAGATGTTTTCTTATTTCTATTTTCTTTTCTTGTTTCATAAGCATGAAGCTAACTTGCTCAGGACTTTGTCTCTGGTAACTGACACCCCACAGCAGCCCGGGAGCCTGAGCTGCTTTATCTGAGGAGCCTTGAAGGCCCTGGCTCTGCCCCTCTTCCCTCCTTAGTGTCCACACAAAAGAGTCATCTGCGAACTAATTAATTTCAAGTCAATTACCATGAACTGGTCGGGTGCCAAGTAAATGTACTGATAATCTGTTATGAGGAACCTTTGATAGGCAGCCTGGCAGCATACTTTAAAGAAAAAAATTGCTTGGAAATCTCTTTATTAAAAATAAAACAAAAGAAACAAACTTTCTTATTTGGAAAACTGGCTCAGAGCGGTCATGAAACAAAGGATCTGACTGTCCCCTCTGGTTTGCTCTCCTTCCATTTAAGTAAATGTCTTTTTTCCTTTTGTATTACAGTGCCCAAAATTACAGTTACATTCAAGAAGTCTGCTGGATCTTTAGATGTACTTCTTTGGGGATTAGAAGTGAAGATACTGATTTGTCGGAAAGATCGGATCATTTATGAAGAGCACTGTGGAGTATGTTGGACATTTCCTCTGCAGACAACACATTTCTCAAACACTGTTAAATAGCATGAGAACCAGGAAAATTAGCACTAAAATATGCAGCAGGAGTCTAAAAATGATCAGGACATGCCCAGAGGTAGTAAGGGAGGACAGCGAAGAGAAATTTAACATATGGCACTCTTGTTTCTCTTTTCGGTTTTTATGGGAATTCTTTGTGGGGCAACTCTCAGTATATTCGCTGCAGTCAACATCTGTATCCCTTTAACTCAGTGACCTAAGAAGCAGCAGAGAGGTGTGGATGCTCGGAAAGCACTGGAGTGGCATTAGCGAGCGCGGAGAGCAGAAACCTTGCAGGCCCAGGGATTTCTGAAAGCCATTTAAAATCCAGACATGGAATGTTTAAATTTGCTTCTTTCCCCTCCATTTCTTTAAACCTTTTAAAAACTTCTACCCATCCATAAGAATTACACTATTTTCTCCTTCCACTAAATAATTAAGTTT